ATCATATTTTTCACGCCTATATCTCGTTTTCCTATCATCTTCTTCATTCCCGCAGTTCCTTTTTAATCTGTCATATCTATATCGACTATCATATTTATAATTATCATACTTTGCTTCTCTATATGTTCTACTGGATTTTTCACGTAAACGATGACTGCTCGAACTCTCGTAATCACTCCTGCTTCTAGAGTAGCTTCTTCTTCTTGGCGGACTATACCTGTGCCCATTTTTCCTGTAATCACTGTCAAATCTTTCTGAGACACGAGTTGTGTGTGAAGCTGAAGTCCGAAAATTTCGTAAACTATGGGCGTGACTATTTTTGATGTACGAACTGTCATGATCTTTTGCTGATTTACTTCTAGTCTCGCTTCTCCGTCCGTTTGTACAACTTCGATTCTCTTTGGTGTCTCGATATTCTGAAGCAGCTCTACGTTCATCGCATACTGAAACTTCTTCTTTTTTAAAAGAATGCACTACATCCAATTGATCTTCAAATTTGAGATTATCTTTCATATCATATTGCGTAAAATTGTCTGTTAGATCATACTGCGTAAGATAATTGTAATTTGTTTCTTTGGTTATGGTTTCCTCTTCATTTTTTTCAATTTTTATACGCTTGTGTCTACTTGTATTGTCTTCTTCATTCGTCCTTTTCATCAAATTCTTTCTGTACGAAGGTTCTGTAACAAGATTACTTTCTGATGTAATTACAATTTTCAAACTAACAAGTTTATTACTCAACTGTCTCTAAATAAAGTCTATATATGATTAAGATATTTTACATATATTCTAAAATTCTTAGATTAAGATATTTTAGGATAAGATATTCCAAACTTCTTATACATTTTCTTCAAGATACAGATAAATAGTAACAAATATTTAATACGCACGATATAAATTTTAATATAAATGTTCACTTAATAGTGTTTAATATAAAGATATAAAAAAATTCTTCTATTAGATAGAAAAATATATAGAAATTAAAAACTGTTTTATGATTCTATGTAAGCTTACGTGATACATATAATAATTATATAAAAAGTAAATATATCTTTAATCTACCTGAACTAGAACATCGTCCGATATTAGAGTCATTGTCGTTGTTATTCATACCAAATGGAGATCCAGCCTTCTTATCATTTTCAATAATATTTTCCTTAGAAATATCCTTTGTTTTAATATTTGCAGCAAGCAAATTTATTAATTCTGTCTGATTTTCCTCTTCTTTTTTATCTTCTATAATTCTCTTATACAATCTTTCCCCAAATACGGTAGGCATCCGATGAACTTTGTTCTGTGGTTTTTTACTTTTATATTCGTCGTGACAGAATTGAATTTGATAAGATTCAGTTTCTTCGGTTTCACTTTCTTGTAAATGTATAGAGGAAGTATCTTCATACTTCTTAGTTATATTATGTCGATATGGTAACTTATGAATAGAAAAATCTCGAGATTTATAGTTGTGGCTCCTTCTGAAGGTTATATCGTCCAATCTGTAAACGTTTTTGGTAATGTTAGAAACAGATTTGTCAATATAATAGTTTATATAATTCATACCGTTTTCTCAGATCATCTATTGTCTTGTCCTTCCGTATAATTTCAGCTCTTGCAGTTTTGAGTAAGGAAGACAAATTGTTCTCTAAGTTAGCGTTATGTCTCTGAAGATTTTCGTTTTTGCTTATGAGTGAACTAAGCTCTTCCTTTAATTCCTTGCAGTTACAATCATGGTTCTTAACAATTTAAAAACATCAACTTATTACTTGATAGATTATATCAGTATACTTCATATAAAACTATTTTTTTATAAATGATTATTGTTGCATACACATAAAACAATGATAACGATAATAACAGTAGTTTTTAATATTCTTACGCAATACACACACGCGCGCGCGCGCGCGCGC